AAAAACAGAAAGGTAAAAAGAATCAAGAACATAAAAAGTGAAAATATAATATATAAAAACAAAGATAATATAATATATATATATACATGGAAAAGGTTGATCAAAAAGAGTTTCTCTGCAACTTGCAAAGGATAGCGATGGCCATTTTCTGCTTCTAAGGCAAGCTTAGTACGGAGTACTTGACGTCAGGAACGTCAATCTCTTCTCATTTCTCTACCCAGCACTTCTTGTCCGCTGAGCTCCAGACCCAATAAAGCTAGGATCCAAAAAGGGATCATCTGGATGAATCTTAATTCCGGACCTGGACACAAGCTTTGCGACTGCTGCACATTGTTAAGCAGAAAGCAATTACAAATAATAGTAGAAATATGTACAGTAACAGATTCTTAAGAAAGGACACAGGAAGGCGTTTGGATCCTTTCATAAGACCACTTCTCTTGCTTTTTTACAAAGCAACAGCAAGCTGCTCTGCAATCAGCTACTAAGCTCACGGCCCCGGCATAGCTTGGACAAGCTGCGCCAGCAAAGATTGCATGTTCTGGTCCTGCGACAGCAGCGTCGAATCACTCAAGATAATATATATATATATAAATATTTGTCTATATATATATATATGTATTGGGACCTGTGAAACATGTCATGTCCGAGACATGTCCACCAGATCGAAGGTCGGAGGACTCAGGACTCACGCCGCCTGCCATAAAGGCTCGAGGCGGGACGGGATCGGGAGCCTGTGTCTTGGAGGAAAAGGCACGAGCCATAGCGGCGAGGCGGCTGCTGGTGGACCTTGGGAAGGTCCTGGAGGTTACGTTGTATCCTTTGACAGGGTCATTGGTTGTTGCATCTTTCATAGAAGCAGGGCTTCTTTCTTGGAACGGTGTTCCTTTCTTGGTGAGGGTCCGCTACCAATTTCACATTGGTAGCGGAGCACAGTGCTCCTAAGAGTGGGATCCAGGGTCCGCGTTGTGGACTTACTTGCGAACGGACTTTCGGACGCGTCTCGATCTTGCAACGTACGAACCGCCGGACACGACGTGCAGCGTTTATCTTGCAGACCGCCACCGGCGTTGACAGGTTGACATTTCATTGAACATTGTGGGACAGTGTTTGGTGTTGTGATTTTGACATTGAACCGTTGACAAATCTTGGCATTGTACAAGTCGAGCATTGTGCATTGTGGTTGACTGCAGGTCGAACATTGGTTGGTTGAACGTTGAGTCGATTTGACATTGAGCATTGCGGGCATTGCATTTTTGTTGTGTTGAGTTGATTCATCATGCCGCCTCCGGCCGATGCTTCACACATCCCTGTTCCAGAAGAGGCCACGAGTAGTGTTGCCGGGACAACATCCCTTCCGTGGTCCAGTATCCCAAAGTTCATTCCTGGTACGACCAACGTCCAGGATCCAGGAGTATACCCAGAAGATGAAATTCATCGCCAACATCTGGCCAACTGAGCATTTAGAAGCTCTTGCTCCACGTGCCGGGGGCGGCTTTCCACAAGGTCATGAGGATTCCTGCCGAGAAACTCAAGGTCAAGACGGTCGATGGTGTGATCGCTTTGGTCGAGGCTCTTGGAGGGTCATGGGGAATGACCATGCTGGAGGAGCAATACGATGCTTTTGAACGTGCTCTGTATGGCACCTTGCAGAAGAGCGACGAGTCACATGACTCCTACCTCGCTCGAAGCGAGGTACACTTTGAAGACTTGTTGGCCCGCGGAACGACCTTGGAAGAGATCCGAGCGTATGTTCTCCTTCGACAGTCGACATTGTCTCCGGAGGATCGCAAGAAGATCGTGCTTGACCAGGGTGGGCAGCTCAAGTACGCTGAGGTCACCAAGGTATTTCGCCTTTTGGGCAGCCGATTCTTTCAGGATCTTCAAGGCTCCAAGGTCACAAAGACCAAAGTTTACGATGCTCACCTGACCGAATGTGACAGCGAACCGGCCTTTGCTGCCTCTCAAGAGTTGGAATCCGGGGTATCGCATCCGGCATCTTCGACGGAAGCACTCACATTCTTGACTGCGTTGGACGATCCAGATCTTGAAGGAGAGTTTATTGAAGCCATGATCGCCCAGAACGATGAGGACGCACAAGCAGTACAACAGTTCGAACATGAACTGGAAGAGTTTCTGCAGGACACCCCTACAATGCATGAAGCATTGGTGACATACATGGATGCGAGATCACGACTTCAAGACAAACGGAAGACCCGAGGATTCTGGCCAGTTCAGAGCTCCTTTTCACATGCCTCCAAAGGAGGCAAGAAAGGGAAATCTGGCTAGGGAGGTGGAAAGGGCAAGAGGCGTGAACAGCTTCTTGCTCGGATTGCTCGTTCACATTGCAGGGCATGTGGTGAGAAAGGGCATTGGCGCGCTGAGTGTCCAAATAAGACATCCGGATCATCTCAGTCACGCGAAAGCGCAAATCTGGCCGAAGCTCCGTTGACCGGAGATCTCCAGACCATCCCCGAGAGTGATGGTGTGCTGGATGACGACATCCTGGAGGTCTTCTCAGATGATTCTCAGGCCAGTCATGTACCAACCGTGGGGCTATCGGTAATTGGAAGGTGTAGTAAAGCTTTTGAGGGTAATAATCCCGGGGATTACGCAACAGCTTTCGTTCTTCAATGCCCTGAGCCCAATCGAATCCGACTCTCCAACAGCATGCAGGCATTTTGCCAGCGTTCTCGTAGTAAGGAATATACTCACCAAGAGAACTTTCATGTCCAGAATCATCGCGCCTCGTCACCTGTCAGGACCAAGCCGGACATTGAATCCAGCCGATCCCGCGATGCCACGATGAACAATAGCTTCATCGCTCAGGCCGACCATTCGGCCTCTCATGCCATCCTGGACACCGGTGCCTCTAGATGTGTAATTGGTTCGGTGAACTTGAATCATTTTCTAGAGGACTTGCAACCCGACATCCGACAAGCCATCAAGAGAGTTGATAGCAAAGTCAAATTTCGTTTTGGCAACGGTGAACATTTGACCAGCGAGTGCAAAGTTTTGCTGTCACTCCAGTCTGGCGAAGACCGGAAACGCCTGTGGCTGACAGTAGAGGTTGTGCCAGGTTCAACTCCTTTCCTGTTTTCCAAACGAGCATTTAAGCTGCTTGGAGGAGCCTTGGACACACGAAACGATACCTGCCTTTTGCGTAGACTAAAACGATCAGTGCACTTGCAGCCAAACAAGTCAGGTTTGTATCTCATGAACATTGCTCAACTATGCAGTCCTCCAGAGAAAGAGGGTCAAGTTTTTGCACAAGATTTCATTGGTCTCAGCACTTCCGATCGTTTCGTGAAAGAGTCAAACTCGTTCGATCGTCGATCGTTTTCGACGAAAGCCCAAGAGGACACGAACGTTTGTAGCCGTGTGTTCGAAGAGCTCAAAGACGCTGAACGACCCCGCTTTCGATCGCCTCGATCTTGTGTTGAGAGAGATGCCAACGAGGGCTGAGATGGCGGTGGCGATTCGACAAGTGTCGGAGGTCGTGATCCAAGTCCTTTCCATGCTTCTGCATTGTTCTCTCCAAGTCATGGAGAGCTCTCCGGCAGAGGAGGAACTGCCGACGCCGATGCAAGAAGTCACAGGTCAATTTCAGACCATGTTGGGGGACTCCAGCACCAGCGCTCGATCCTGGAAACCATGATGGAACAACTGGCGATGAAGAAGAATCAAGATTCACCACACTCCGCAGGCAATCCAGGTCCCTCAACTCGACAGCCTCCGTCTCCGAGCAAGGCACCTGGCCTTTCCGAAGCATCCTGGGAAGTTTTGGAAGACGAGGAGATTTTGGCTCAGTCTCTGCGCCAAGCCATTCAGCAGCGGCAAAAGCAGGCAGCCATGACAGGGATGCCGACAAGTCGTCCGTCTCAGGCCGCAGCCGCGTCATCCAGTCCACCAACGACCTCAGGCCTTTCAGATCCTGTGAACCAAGCTGTACAGATCGAACAGACTCCGACGACCACGAAGACCCCATTGCCCCCAGCACTGGCCTGGGGCACCAAGGTCATCAACTGGGGCAAAAAGCACAAGGGTCGTCACATGTACAGCAATGTCAGGATTGAAGACCCAGGATATGTTCAATGGCTGATTCAGAGATTCGGAAGCCTGATTCCGGAGCAAAAGGACTACGTATCGTACGTCCGAGCCATGACCACCTGGGATCAGCAAGGTCTTCTCAACCTTCGCGAGATCCTGCCTTGAGCCTGAATGAATTTGAAGAACAGTCACAATGTTTATTGCACAGCATAGCCATTTTGGATGCCATGTTCGAATCTTCGTTTGACAGCGAGGTTCAAAGCATGAAAGAACGCTTGTGTTACCAAACAACAGATGTGACTGAAACTTCAGGTTCACTGGAAGCAGCTGAAACCATCACTCAGGAGATTTTCACACAGGCCCACGTGCTCTCAGCTCCACAACCCCGCATTCATCTCTTAGAGATTTATGCATCGTCTAACAGCCCATTAACCGAACAGGCTAAGTTGTTAGGAGGGTCCGCCATGCGATTCACCATTCAAGATGGTGATTTGTCCACCTGGTCCGGAAAACGAAAACTGTGGAGCGTGATTGAGCATTGGCAGCCCGAACATGTGTGGTGTTCTCCTGAATGCGGTCCATGGGGTGGATGGAGTCGGCTCAACCAGCAGAGAAGTCTAACATCCTACGACGATATCATGCAGAAAAGACGAGATCAAGAAAAACACTTGCAGTTGTGTGCCCAAATCTGCAAATACCAGATTCGTCAAGGCCGACACTTTCACTTTGAACATCCCATCGGTTCCGAAGCTTTTGCGACACCGAGTGGACAGGACATGCAGAAGGCCACTCTTCCAATTCATTTGGACATGTGTGCTTTCGGCCTCAAGGTACCCAATACCCAACTGTTTCTTAGGAAACGAAGTCACCTGCTGTCCACGTCCAGCTCAATGCAAGATAGACTGCATGATCGTAAGTGTCCTCAGTCTCACCAGCATATTGCCATTGCAGGTTCATATCAGACGGGCCATTGAAACTTGCTTACTTTTGCGCCAAAATTATTGTAAGGGGTTTGCATCCAAGGTAGCACAGATTCTCCTCGAGAGTCACGAACCTCCAGTCAACATGAATTGCAGAACCGCACATGCGTTTGCCCATCAAGATGTCGCTGATGAAACTGAAGCTAAACGACGCCGGACCGACGATGTGTTCCGACCATCAATAACGGTCCCAATACGTACAGAAGCCTTGAGTTTTGGAGACGATTTTGGAGACGAGATTCCGGCCGAACAACATGACACATGGAAACGTATTTTTCAAGAAGCAAACCGCATGGCACCACGAGTGGGTAACAGATCCATAGAATACCAAGACATCACCTTCATTTCTCTTCGGGAAATTGTTCCGGGCATTGATTGGACTCACATGTATGTTTGTCGGGGAACAGAAAGATTCCAGGTTCCAACCGGGGCTCCATCAGGAAAAGAGGCTAGCGTCAGACAAACATGGTGTGTCCATCGACACAAACTCCAAATGCTGGACATGGGGAGAGATGATTGGTCGAAGAGCCAGTCATCCGATCGAGCCGACCATTTGCCTGAACGCAGTGAGCCAGTGTCTGATTCTCAGACAATAGCAGCTAAGCCGGCAGAGCCAGAGCCATCGTCCGGAGCAGGGGAATTAGCGGCACCGCCCACAGGAGATCCATCAGATTCCTCCATAGCCATAAGAACAAAACATGATCCAATGATTGCAGAGGGTTGGGCTCCTCCACCAACTCCCATCCACGGTCCCGCATTTCGTAGATTGTCCGATACCCAAAACAAGAATTGGTCAAACTCCACAAGAACCTCGGTCATCCAGACCCCAACAAGCTCAGAGCTCATTTGGTAGCCCAGAAAGCTGATCCAGCCATCATAGAAGCAGCCCTGGAATATTCATGTGATGCTTGCCTTGAGTCTATCCAAGTTAGACATCAAAGACCAGGTAAACTGCGTGAACCTACTGATTTCAATGAAGTGGTTGGGATAGACGGTATTTTTTGGAAAGGAAACGCAGGGTTTCAGGTGTATATCATTCACTGTGTTGATGAATGTTCGACCTTCCAAATGGCCCGCAGAACCAACTCCCGACAGACTGAAGCGACAATCAATCTGTTTCAGGAACTTTGGATGTCTTGGGCGGGCACGCCAGGTCAAATCTATGCTGACCCTGCAGGAGAGTTTACATCACAGACCTGGATGGACTTCCTTCAATCGCATGGCATTTCATCTTTCACCTCCTCCGAGGCATGGCAAAAGGGTCGCGTTGAAAGACATGGTCAAGTACTGAAACAGATGCTACACCGTGTTGATCAGGACCGAACAATTCAGAACCTTGCTGATTTTGACCGGACCCTCATAGCCTGCTGCGTCGCCAAGAACCAAATGGCACGACATAAAGGATATGCCCCCGAACAAATTGTTTTGGGAAAGTCCACCAAATTACCGGGTTCTTTGACAGGCGATGAGGACATGAGCGCACATGCCTACCAAGATGGTGTTCCAGAAACAACAAAATTTCATGAAGTTTTATCCCGAAGAACTGAAGCAAGAATTGCATTTCTAGATGCAGATAATCATCAATCGATTCGCAGAGCCATGTTGCGTAGGTCATGTCCTGTCAGAGGTCCATTCATGCCAGGTCAAGCAGTGATGTATTGGTTTCGGCGCCGAAATGTCTCCCGAAGCGAAAGTGGTCGATGGCACGGACCAGCCAAAGTCATCCAACAGGAGGGTCAATCCACGGTCTGGCTAAGTCATCAGAACCGAATCGTTCGATGTCCTCCCGAAAACGTTCGACCAATGTCACTTCGAGAATGGAACATCCAGAGACCTCCACAAAGAACAGAAGAATCACGGAAACAGGACTCCAATCGTCCACCAGAGTCCATGGAAGCCCATATGCGCTTTCGTGACCTTCGGCCTATCACCAATAGCATCTCCATACCCTCGACGCCGGACATTCAACCTGAACGAGAAATCACTCCAAACGTACAACATGTCATGACTTAACGGATCTCCCAGATCCATCGACAGGGGAAACAGCACCAAATGATGAAGACACTCGTGTTCTAGGTGAAGCAATTGACCTTGAACCATCCCCCGATCAACCCATGGAATCAATGAATGAAGATAATCCCGATTTAGATAACCCCACGAATGAAGAACCGGCCTTAGTGTTGCATTGCCAGCCATGCAACAACGTACATAAAAGCCCAGAGAAAACTCAGGATTTACTGACCTGCGTGTCCGCAACCATAGGAGAAGACCAGGGGACCTGCCTATTGGCCGAAGATGGATTTTCATACATCCACGATCCCATGACGCCAACCGAAGAACAAGCCTTCCACCTTGAGATTGCACTGACCGAACGGGACATTGACTTGTGGCTAAAGGAGGCCAATCCAGAGCAAATGGCTCACGTGGCCACGGCCGGAAAGAGGGCACGTGCGGAGGTCAAGCTCCATACCTTGACCAATGCCGAACGACTTTTGTTTGATGCTGCCAAGGATAAAGAGTTGTCTTGCTGGATCCAAACTAACGCAATCCGTCCGATCTTGAGACAACGGCTCAACCCCGAGCAGATTCTACAATCCCGATGGGTATTGGTTTGGAAGGAGGGCGACAGCCCATCTCAAAAGCGGGCGAAAGCCCGTCTGGTGGTTTTGGGATTTAAGGATCCCAGATTATGCGAGGTGGAGCGTGACGCACCTACTCTCACCCGTGAGGGTCGAACCACGGTTCTTCAGAGCATTGCATCACACCAGTGGAAACTGTCCTCGTTTGATATCACAACCGCGTTTTTGAGGGAACGCAGGCTCCAGTAATCCATTGGCCGTGGAACCCCACCAGAACTGCGTAAGAAACTCAAACTTCAGCCCAGTGAAGTCTGTGAACTAGTAGGCAACGCCTACGGGCGGGTAGATGCTCCACTCCTCTTCTATAAGGAACTGACCAAACATCTCCACCAATTGGGCTTCCGAACACACCCCCTTGAACCTTGTATGCGCTACTTGGTTTCAGGAAACGGCAATCAGTTTCGCCTCCATGGAGTTCTAGGGACCCATGTAGATGATGGTCTAGGTGGAGGAGATCAGATATATCAACAGAAGATTCGAGAGTTAGAGAAAAGACTTCCTTTGGATCCTTCAAAGAACGAAAGTTCAAGTTCACCGGCATCGACTTGGAACAGCAGCCAGACGGCTCCATATCGGCCACGCAAGAAAGCTATGTGCGCAGCATTCTTGCCATCGACGTTGGAAAACAACATCGTGAACAGCTCCAGTCAACCCTGACTGAAACAGAACTTTCAAAGTTGCGAGGGTTAATAGGAAGCCTTCAATATGCCGTAACACACACAAGACCCGATATTGCGTCTCGACTAGGAGAAGTTCAATGCCAGATAGCCCAACCAACTGTAGCAACACTCCTACAAGCCAATAAGGTTTTGAGGGAAGCCCAAGAACATAGTGACACTAAGATTTGGTATCGAGCTATTCCAGTAAAAGACATCACACACATCTCTTTTGGAGATGCATCATTTGCCAGTCCTAAGAACATGAATCCTTTCCAGGGTCATATCATCTGTGCCACGTCAACTGAACTGGATCAAAATCGTCAAGCACCATTGTCACCACTCACCTGGTCTTCTAAGAAGATTTCACGTGTTGTGCGTTCAACATTGTCCGCGGAGGCGTTTTCCATGAGTCAAAGCGTTGACCGACTAAGTTGGGCACGGCTACTTTGGGGTTGTCTCGTAATTAACGAGTTCAACTGGAGAAATCCTTCCCAAGGGTTCAAGCAGATGAACCAAGCCATTATCACCACGGATTGCCGATCCCTTTTTGACTTGGTCACAAGAAATGCAATTCCGTCCTGTGAAGAATTTCGCACGACCTTGGAAGTTTTGTTGATTCGTGAGCGCTGCGCCGAACATGTTCATTTCAGGTGGATTCCTACCACCCTGATGATCGCTGATCCTCTGACCAAAGTAATGGACAGCAGTCTGTTACGAACCACTCTTCGTTCAGGAACCTTTAGGATCTTCGACGAGGCAGCAGTACTCCGATACAATGCCCATCGCAAACAAGCCTTGAAGTGGTTGCAAGAGAACCGATCCTCCTCCCATTAGTTTATTTCATTTGTTTAGATTTCGGGGAGTGTGAAACATGTCATGTCCGAGAC